TATGAGCACCCCTCACTAGTAAGGGAGGTAAAGGACTAGTTATCCCCGGGATGATCCAAAGATTAAGTGATCCTCTCACTATCTTTTTTTCATAAGGCCCCTTCACTAGTGTTTGCTACTGAGCCACTTGTATAGGTCATAATTAACCTAGTAAATGACCGCTCATCATGAGTCTTTTCTGTAGCTCAATGGTAGAGCATCAGACCGGCATCAGTGACTCTGATTTTTTCAAAGTTATCCTTTCAGCTAGCGACAAATGATAAATTATTCTATATAATTTCGATCTGGTTGCTTACACATTCCTAAATACTGTCTTCAGCAGGGCAGATTTAGGGTTGGGGTATACAGGGCCGCTGCCTCTCTTTAAAGTGATGTATTTGGAAAAATTGTATTTGTTTATTTGTATGATACGCTGGGCGGTCATCTTGGATCGCAAGGCATTAAGGGGTGTACAGGGGGTAAATATATATTCCCGTTTTTGTTTTGTTGTGCCCCATGGACGTCCCATAATGCCTTTGATTCAAGATGGCCACTGTATTGCGAATTATAAAATAACTGTTACGAATGTCGCGTTCTGATTGGTTTGGAGCGCGTGCTTTATGAGATCACATTGCACGCGCGCGCACTTTCCGTTGCGTCATTCCTATCTATTATTGTAATTTGTATTTTATAAAAGAAATAAAAAACTTGCTTGCTGTGCTGTGTGCAGTCATAAAGCACTTGGGGATTGGCAGAACACTCGAGAAGTGTCCAGAAGCATTCCGCTACGCGTCGTGCTTCTCCTAACACTTCTCTCGTGTTCTGCCAACCCCCGCGTGCTTTATGACAGCACACAGCACGCGCGCGCGTTTTCTATTTCTTCATTATAAAATAACTGTTATAAATCTCGCGTTCTGATTGGTTGGGAGCGCGTGCTTTATGATAGCACACAGCACGCGCGCGCACTATCCGGCAGTTGCGTCATTTCTATCCAAAAAAAACGGTTATTGAAATGTGTATTTTATAAAAGAAATAAAAAACTTACTTGCTGTGCGGTGTGCAGTTATAAAGCACTCAGGGATTGGCATAACCCTCGAGAAGTGTCGAGAAGCACTCCGCTACGCGTCGTCCTTCTCCTAACACTTCTCACGTGTTCTGCCAATCCCCGCATGCTTTATGACTACACACAGCAAGCGCGCGCGTTTTCTATTTCTTCAGTAGTTAATTATTGCATCATATTAGTTTACCTGAGTCCCGTCTCACAAGTTGATCCCAAATACTTGTCCAATTTCCTCCCGAATCGAAAGAAAAACTTATCGGAATTGCATAGCGAACGTGTTGATCATATCTAAATGAAATCTGGAATATCTGGCCTTTCGTTAAATTTATTCCATAGAACTCCACTGTGTACCTAGAAGTCAATCAAGAAAAAAATCGACGGTTAAATCGATTACATGAAGACGTACCGAAGGAAACAAATTCACGCATTAAATGTTTACAACTAAGAAAGTTGAGACAGTAAACCAGCTAAAGCATTCCAATCAGCCCATCAGCAAAATAACTCAGAAGCCAACCCACCCACCCAATCAATCACCCAACAACAACATAGGATAACAACATAGGATAACAACATACAACATAGGATGCGGTGGCAGGGGAGCCATACGACACCGACTGGACTTGGACCCGGGTTACCTTGGTGAGAACCCCTCGAAGCACTATTGAGCAACTCTACTCACATACGACACTGACCCCGGCAGGACTCGAACAGGGTCGCATTGATGAGAAGCAAAGCATTACCATCGCACACCACCCGTGCTACCCAAGTGTTTGATGATGGTCATTAGTCAAGACCTTGAATCCCAAACATGTGCAGTGCGTTTTCAGATTGAAATAAAAATAGGATAAAGGTATATTTTATCATACCATTTGCCATCTTCTAAAGACTTGCTTGGAAAACGCTGCTGTTCATTCAATAGCTCTATTTTCAAAAATGGGTTAGGTGCTCTACCGTGTACTCTGAATGAATATGACCCTGTCACCAATGGAATGAAATAGCCTTCATCTGTTACTTTTACTAAATCCGCGTCATTCTCCACTTTTCGACTAAAGTTCTTTAACTCTGTCAAAAACAAAAATACCACGTTAATCCTGGTTTTCACTTTATTAGGTTCCCCTGTAACGGTATCCCTTACCTCTCATCTGCTTGTAATTTGTTTATATTTTTCATTTTTTTAAAACTATGATTTGATGTGAGGTAAATGCTAAATAAAAATATAAAATACAATGTTTAACTATAAAAGTATCAAAGATAACAATTAAAATTTAATTCAGTAAAAGGAATGAACTACGATTATTGTCATATAATAATAGGCCTTTTGCAACAACAGGTCACGTGACCATACCCCCGTAAAAAGAGACGTTGTGTCAAAATGAACGCCAGATATCGAAAGAGCACCTCAATATAATAATAATAAAAAACTTTATTTAACAAAGAATTCAGAAAGTTGAAGAAACGTATTTACACTGAAGTTGTGTGTAAAATGAATCATAATAAATATATTGGTAAAAATTAAATATAATGTTAAATATATGATATAAATAAATATATAGCTAAAATTGAGATCTATAAAAATACAAATAATAATAAAAGGGAATATGTACACTAAGTTAAGGTCATTGATATTAATTGAGTAAAACTAGCAATGACAAAGGCAATGAGGTAAAAAGGAACACAGACGAAGTCTCACCTCTAATCGTCGGTACTACCACCAAACCTTAGAATATTCAGGCCTGGTGATAATGCCAATAATTGGAAGAGAAACTACGCACTGACTTAGCATGTTTCACTTCAGGATTTATATTATTAAAAAGAGAAGAAGAAGCAGCTTAAGAAAAAGAAAGTGAACCTGATTTTGAGGATATCTTAGGTATACGTATGTTATTGCGGATCCTAGTATTATAGGTGTGAATATCGGAATTATGCGAAAATAGATTCCTTAGATACGAAGGGCAGAAACCATTTAAACAGCGGTTTATAGTAATGCACTTATACACTTATTTCAATAAAGTTAGTCACCAAAAAACCTAGAAAGCTGAGATCACTGAGGCTCGTGGGAAACTTTTAATATCAAACAAGTAAAGCTTTTGATAGAATTTACAGCTTGAGGATGCTCAGAAGAGGTGAGACTGTAACTGGTAAAAGATCTTAAATCCATCAACAGTTATTAAAGCGGTTGAAACATGTAAAATGTAACTACCCATAATCCTTGTTGGTCTCAGCTTTGTAGCTTTTTAGGCGACTAACTTTATTGAAATAAGTGAAAATATCCATATTTCAATTAAAGAAACCCACCCAAGTTCCCGAAACAGCTGTACAGAACTACTTTCTCTAATTTTTCTGCAAACGAAGAAGTCACTCTAAGCTACACTTATCAGTATGATGACTTAGTTCTTCCAGAGAGATAACTGTTGAACCATTCCAAGGCATGCCCATTTATACCAACATTTCCAATTTCCTTTAAGAGAACAGAGTGATCGCGATTAAGTCAAAGGCTTTACTGAGGTCGAGAAAAGTACCACAAATAAGGTTGCCTTTGTCCATGTTCTTTAAAATGAAGTCAGAAACATCCAAAAGACAAGTGCTTGTCGAATGACTATGTCTGAAACCAGATTGATGTGGCGAAAGTAGCTTATTAGTTGTCAAGTGGTTATAGATCTGCTGATGAATAGCTCGTTCGAATATTTTCATCACCACTGGAAGAACTGAAATAGGTCTGTAGTTATTGGGGTCTAATTTAGAACTAGTCTTGTGCAACGGTGTAACAGTAGCAGATTTCCATGTGCTTGGTATAATATTAGTGCGCAGACTGAGATTGAAAATATACGTTAAAGGATGCAAGTACTTCAGCACCAAGCTTAAAAAGTAGAGTGTAGATATTCTTGATACCTAGCTAGAGATTTCTTTACTTTCAGAGATGAAAGTTCCTTGCGTACAAAGTCCACAGCAATTTCTTTAAACTGGGAATCAGTTTCACTTGAGGTATTAACACTTGAGTTATTTGGTGATGCATTTATACTTGAGAAAAAAGTCTTAAAACGTACACTAACGGTAGTAAAAAACTTATTGAGGCATTTTGCTATTCCAAGATTATCGGTAAAACTGGTCTTATCAAGAGTGATCTCTCTTCTGCGGGAGTAGTTTTTTAATTGTAGTCCACAACTTGGAGGAATCATTAGCATTTTCATTTAGCAGATTATAATAATAATTGCGTTTAGCACCATCAATTAATCTAGATATAGTGACATTATTCCTTAAGCGTTCGAAATTGATCCAGTCCTGATAACTCTTGGTTTTGGTAGCTTTGCGTTTAGTTGTATCCCGAGATTTTATCGTCTGGCGAACTTCATCCGTCATCAATGGGGGCTGTGATCAACGAACACGCGTGGAACGAGGAGGAGCATGTTTATTGCTAACATCCTTACATAGCTCTTCCATAGTAAACCAAACATCATCAGGTGCATCAAATAAATAGATAGTATCCCAAGGCAGATCGTGAAGATCAGCCACAAACTCTTCTATATTAGTAAATGGGCAAAGTTTTAGCTTATAATGTTGACTATAGGAGAAATAGCATTGAACATGAAATCGAATATCTTATAACGATTTGGATGGGAAAATGTGATGGATGACAAAGCTTGCCATCCAGTACATTTCCCCATACAAATCCTTATAAAATATTCGATTTTGTATTTAATGCCATTTCTCCCGTGTTACATGTCATAAGCTGAAACTTTGCCTTCTTACTAATATCTAGGTGCTCTTTTGATTCTGGTGTTCATTTTGAAACGTCTCTTTACGGGGGGTAGGGTCACATGACCTGTCGTTGCAAAAGGCCTATTGAATATCTAATGCCCAATAGTACAGACGATCTATTATAAAGTACTATAATCATAAATAAAAATGTCCAAGGTATTAAAACTAATTACTAAGCCAGTTACGTATCAACACTTTACTTTCGACAAAATCGGAGTTACCCTGCTTGCCGTTGGGTCGGGGGAGGCTGCCGCTCAGCAGAAGGGGGAAAAAACCTCTGTTCTCAGGGTAAATCGGAGTCAGAGTGGGAATCGGAAGCGTGTCGAAATGGCGGAAGATATATTTTATCTTGGCTTGTGCTTACGCTTATTCAGGCCTATAAAGTCTAGATAAAGTTGACTGATCGATTGGATTTCATCTAGTTAATCCTATACAAGAGAATATGAACTAAGAGAAGGAATCCTAGCCATATAGCCTTGTAACCATCATGTGCACAGTTTGATGCTATATTTAGCTTGAGATATTTTTAGCGAAGAACCTGATTGGTTGATTCTTGAGGGTACGTAGTCTTGCAGTAAACAAAAGCCTGTGTTTTTGTCGTGGACGTAGCGAAATATGGCGCTTTTCGTGTACTAAAACGAGGCATTTAAAGGGAAGCATGATTAAAAATAGCATCATTGATTCTAAAAATAGCATCAAAGTGTGCACATGATGGGGTACGGAGATTCCTTCTCTTAGTTCATTTTCTCTTGTCCTATAGTGACAACCCATCCCCCAGGCTACATGTTTGGGTCATGTTTAATAAAACACATACCCGTGGTTTATATAGTCTAGATATAAATGACTGATCGATAGGACTCCATCTAGGTATTATAACAGATCCTTAAGATAATTCCCTTGTTTTGCACTGCGCATTTTTCTGCGCATGCAACTAAAAGCATGGAACTAACAAAGTTTAGGCATTTTTCTTTCAGAAACTAAATAAGAGACGTTCAAAACCAATTTCACTTTTTTCTCTTTTTTTGAGCAGAGAAATTGCGATTTTTATTTGACTCGCCCCAGTCTCTACTCGGAAAAGTGTCAGTTTTCGACTATTTTGAGATGTTTTTTCAAGATAAATCAAAAACGAGAATGGTGATCCCCATTTTTTATTTCAGATTTTTGATAAATGCGATGCTCGTCATTATATATCAAAATATAAATGAAAGTTTATTGAATAGATTTTGAAATACTTTGATGGGAATAGCTGACATGTGCAATTTTTGGACGTTCGCAGCATACCTGCATTTTTCACTAATTCCTCAAGAATCATAGTCATCCAATGACTTTGATGGATTTAATAGTATAGATTATCTAGTATACTTCGAGTTATAAGTACGTTTTGCTATATGAAAGCACTTTTAGCTGTGAATAAAGGTTCTTGATTACAGCTTCCGGTTGCTACCGCATTTCACTAAAAAACCCATAAATTGACATATTTGGAGAGCATCTCACGAAAAAACGAGAATAGTGGCCCCATCTTTTTATTCCAGTTTTTAAATGTCCATAACATAAGAAATGTCCATTCAAAGTTTCAGGATAAAGTTATTGGCAAAATTTCTTTCAAGGGAATTACCTTAAGACATCTGATCTTCAATGAGTGTACTTACCCTGTGGTATACAGTCAAGAAGAGTTTCATCATCGTATATAAAACTTTTAGTACTCGGTTCGGCAAGCACGTGTACACCGTTGATAGATATGCATGTTGTTATTATCCAGGTAACCAATAGAGTCATAGCAATATTCTAAAAAAAATCATTTCAATAAGAATATTCAGTATTGTTAGTCACCTTGCAATGCGCGCTCAAGAGAATATTAAAGTTGATTTTTGTGGAGGGAGGAAAACCGGAGAATCCGGAGAAAAACCCTCAAAGCACAGGAGAGAATCAACAAACAACTCTACTCACATACAACACCAATCCCGGTGGGGCTCGAAAACGGTTCGCATTGGTTTGAGGCGAAAGTTCTCACCGCTACTCCACCTGTGCTTCCCTTAAAGACCAGTGTTGTACAAGGATGAGATTTAAGGGCGTGAATTTCAAATAACCCTCTAGTGTATCTACGGCTATTTCAAAAAAAGGTTGAATACTGAATATTGCATACTGAATAGTGCATGCCAAGACCGAAGTGCATTGTGGGTTATAGTGACATTGTCTAAAGTAGGATTAATAATAATTATTTATCCTATTCTTAGTGTATTCCACTTGAAACAATATACTAAGTACATGTAGAGTTCAGCTATTAACCGAGTCAAGCCCGAGTCAGATCCGAGTCCTAGTCAAATGTCCGAATCAAATGTCCAAACCTGAAAATATTGAAAATACTCTTTATAATATATAAAATTAATTGCACGAAGACATTAATTGCACGAAGGTCATAAATTAATCTATGCTATATTTTCACTGCTAAAAAGGAACCTACCATTTTTTTTTTTTTTTTGACGAAAGCACTGAAATGGCTTTCTTGGACTCGGACTCGGACTCGGATTTGACTCGAAAAACGGATTTACACACTACATGTAGAGAGCTAATTGCTGTATATTTACTTTTTATTTCAAATTAACGAGACTCACAATGTCTTTTTGTCTTGGAATGCACTACTCAGTATGCAGTATTCAGTATTCAACCTTTTTTGAAATAGCTGTTGTTAACAAATAAAACAGCTTTTTCCGTGCTCCGTTTAACAAATAAAGCAGGTAGGAAGTGGTGTAAGCATGAAAGAAGTGTAAGGCCAAGCATGAGCCGTAGGCGAGTGCTTCTCACACTTCTTGAGTGTTTACGGTGCTTCCTAAGTGCTTTATTACTGAGCGGAGCAGGGAAAAGGCTGTTCCATTCGTTTTATTATATAATCACAAATTTTATTTCGGTATTGAATTTATTTACGCAAAAAGAAAAACAGTCGCAAGATCTAGCAGAACTTCACGTGGATGGCGTCAGTACTGTGCTCCGTAATACTTAAAAGTAAACCCGTTTTAAACAAAAAAAAATCATTTAGGAACTTCCGAAACCAAATCTAGACGCTCTTTCTATAGTCTTTACATGCGGAAATGAAGAGGGAAGTGAAATTAAGAAAAGAACGAACATAAAACCAGAAAGAAACGAAAGAAATGAAACAGAACGAACCAAGGATTAAAAAGTAACCGAAAAAAAAAAAGATTCAGTAAATGAAATATGCTCCTCAACGTTCAAGAGATGTTAATTAAAATTGATCAAGCCGCCTGTTTCTAGGGTAACGTTAATGACGTTTGACAGCGAAAAATCCCGAAAGGGGGACCATGGCCAGTAAAATATTGAAACCGCCCTCAGACAACATTTGGTAATACAGCCGGAGCGGGGAAATGGAGGGGCTGGATGTCTTTAGCCTCATCCACTTTCCCCACACCCACAAACACGTTTAGCATTTTTATACCTTATACTACTCTACTGTATTGTCTCCCCTCTCCTCCCCCACGTTTTTTGGGTAACTTATACTAATCTACTGTATTGTCTCCCCTCTCCTCCCCCACGTTCTTTGGGGTGCTTGGCGGTCCCTGTCCCACCAATTCATAATTTACGTCATTAAATTCGTTTACCATTTTCATTTATTAGCACAAGATGAAACAGGTGCAAACTACGTCTTTCTGTCCTGATGAATTTATCTACTAAACTTCAACGCGTTATTAGCTATACGTCGCTCCCTCTGACTTGTCCCCTAACTCCTCTTTTATTCGTGTACGCGTGATATCTTCTTAAAAGTAATTTTACCGCACTTTTTCCTGTTTCTATAAACGAACAAAAGATAGAAAAAGCGAGGGAAAGCAAATCGGAACGTGTAAAACGTGTCGAGAAAAGCAGGCTTTCCTTCCACTACAAAACCTCCTAACACGCTCAATGCCGATTTGATCTGTGAGGCTGCGTTTACAAGGTACGGGACGAATTTTGAACCGGTCAAAAATTTGACCTGTACATACCGTTTACACGGAACCGTCTCTTTAATTGTATAAGAAATACGAATTTTCGTTCGGGATAGTTCAGTCCAGTGTGAACGGAACCCTAAACTTTTTGACCGTGAGTTAGCCGTGCTGATCAGACCAGAGGTTGTTCCGGTTATCTGCGATAAAATTCGAAGGTTTAAAGAAAAATGTTGAATCGAAACACACGAAATTATATTWAAAAAAAATTAAGATAAACATAAAAGGAAATCAATTTGGAAGCAAAAACAAACTTGAAATAAAAGCCTTCTGACATTTTTAATTATACGAAAAGTTCAGTATTTTTTACTGAAAACTGTGCAGAAGGCTTTGTAAATATATACAAAGAAATTATAGGACATTTAATGAATTTTCTTCAGTTTTCCGATTTTCGTCGTCTAGCGGTCAAAATGCCGTGGATTCGCGAGGCGTAGCCGAGGGAGTCCACAACTTATTTTGACGGCTAGATGACGAAAAAGTGGTTAAATAAGAGAACATAGCAAGAAAAACTGGAGTAATATGGTTAAAAAAAATATTTTTGACTACAAAAACAAGGGTAAAGTTTGAAAGAAAAATGGGGTTTCAAGCTCGCGCGTGATTTGCTGACGTAATTTAACCAATCAGAAAGCGAGAAAATTCCGAATAATGGTAAAAAGAAACTTACCCTAAGATTTACTTATCTCTCTCACTTTCTTAAATACACGTATTTTTTTCAACAAGAAGACGGATTCAAATCATTTTTCGTTTGAGAACGAAATCACAAAGTATTTAATAACTCTTTTACTTCCCAATCAATTTAGATTTTGCGCCAAGCTACAGTCTGTAAGCATTAGTGTTACCGACTGACTGTACTTCATATTCTCTTGCGACTATCAAACAGGGTCGACTTGACGCTTAAGAATTCGGCATCATTTAGACTACTGGCGTTATAGGCTTTATCCGATGTATTAACAAGTTTAGTTGGAAAGAGAAAAAACTCGCATTTATTCAAACTAAGATAAAAATTACTAAAAAGAAAAAAACGAAACACTCATTTCGCTAACGCTTCTACTTTTAACATGCAAGAGTAATTTAGCAAATTTTGACTCATAAACACAGCCGTAAAGCCCCGTTTACACTAGCGATTTTTGAGGCGATTTTTGCTGCGATTTTGTCCATAATAAATAATGGTAAAGAATTTACTTGTGGGTTTTTTTTTCAGGATACCAAGATTTTCCTAGATGAATGTCTCTTTTGAAGAATGAGACAAAAGATTTCATATTTCCGAAAATTGCCACAAAAATCGCAGCAAAAATCGCCAGTGTAAACGGGGCTTTATACATTCCTCTAGGAAAATCTTGGTATCCTGAAAAACTTTACAAGTAAATTCTTTACCATTACTTATTACGGACAAAATCGCAAAAAAATCGCAAGCAAAAATCGCCGCACAAAATAGCTAGTGTAAACGGGGTTTAACGGATAGGAGAAAAACTTCGCAAAGCAAAACCTAGTTTTGTTTTGTTTCTTAAAGAAAGAAGAAGAAAAAAGAAAAAAGAAAGAGGAAAGCGAATAGGAATTCTTTAATTACTCGACTTAAACAACGTTTTGAAGACAATTTAAAGTTCTTTCATATTACACGAACTATTTACATATTACGAAATTCTCCAGTTCACGGTTTTACCTTTTCGTGAAGAACCGCCATCTTGAAACTTTCTTCAGTTTCTTCAGTCTATTCTATGCCGTCAGTTTAGGAAAGCTTCATAAACACGTTTTGCAGTATTTTATGGTTTCTTGCACGTTTTCTTTGCACCTGATATAATGAACTCTTTTGTGAAAGAATAAAACTTTGAAAAGCAAACCGACTTTCAAGAAGACAAGCCGCTCCTCTCTGTTTAAAATATAACTGACTTTCACTTGTTGTTTTCTTCGCTTTTGTGAACTGAGTGAAATAATGGCGTAAGTACTTATCCCTTATTGGTTTTATTCACTTTAAGAGTTAATAAATCAAGCTGCGAAAAGAAATTGAAACAGGTTTGTTTAGGAAATTTGTTTTGACATAGCGAAAAATTTATTCACGTAATAAAAAGTAAAAAATAAATTCACGTGAAAAACACTTTCAAGAAGAAGTTACAACAGCCCAAACGTAAAGCTCACATTCAGTTATATGCTTTAGTACATTCTCACAAGTATCTACTGAGTTTTAATATTAATTAAAAAAGCTGAGAAAGTTATTAAAATTTGCCCGAGAAAAAGTTCTTTAAAGTTTTAAATTATTTAAGCTTAAAAAAACAAATAAAGATGAACAGAGGCAGGCACCCCATCGTCAAAAAGAAATTTAGATTCAATTTATTTTGGTTGCTATTGGATTACCATTATATTTGTGGCACAATAAGGACGCCCACACTAGGTAATTCAACTCTTTGGTTCACAGGTTATTTTTATAGATTTGCAATATGTTCGATTATAACTCGAGTACGAATACAGGTAATGTTTTGCGAGCCTGGTTTTCACTAGAAGCCGCTCCCTCCCCCCCCCCCCCCCAATTACGGGAAAAACTTTTCGTTTCTTCCCATAGGAGGGAGGGGTGGTAAGCGGCTAACCAACCAACTGATAGAAAACCTGAAAACGGAGTCGAAAGCTTGTCAGAATCGGAATCGAAAAAACTCGTTTTTCTTGACTAGTGACACAAACTGCTTCCAACTCCTATTCCGTCGCAAGTGAAAACCAGGCTTTACGAGTTATTCGTTATGAATTGTATGAAAAGGTCGTGCAGTTTGCCATTAATAGTGCATTCCACCGCAAAATTATATGAAAAAAGAGGTATGCGAAGGCAATTGAGGATTAATTATCGAGCAGGACCTGGGTACGAGACTGTTATCGAGCAATTTTATTGGCATTTGGAGAACCGTGGATACAATTCAATTAAATAGTTATCTCAAGACAATATTTTTTTTGTTAAGAGATATTTTGTTGTTCTTGGTAACTATTTCTGGATTACAGCGCTTCTCAATTACACGCGCGAAATCGTGAAAAATATTTCGAGACATTTCGTGGACGAGAGTTTTGGTGGACGCCAATCAAAGTGTTTTCTAACATTGTGCCTCTGGAATAAGTCAGATATAAATATCGAAATACTCTTCGAATAAATACTACTTTTCTTGTAGATGTTTTCCCTGTCTAATAGAATTGTCTGAATTTCTTTAATTATCTGTCACTTTGAGAATTTCAGGGGCTTTTCCTTGGGAGGGGCAAAAGGAGGCTTTAGCCTTTAGCCCCCCTTTCAGGACGTTCGTTATGTTTCTTGAAGTGGTAAAGAAAGCATATTTAAGAAAATCAGTTAAACCCCTCCTCCCCCTATTTTTATGCTCTCTTGGTTCCGCTTATAACGAGTGGTTTTCACTTGAACTGATTCCGATTTCGAGTCAATATATTATATTATCACATTCTAGAGTAATCAGGTTACGTGAACACAAATAAGGAAGTGGGATTTGGTCCAAAATGGGAAAACATTTGGCACAACGAAGTATCAGAAAAGTAGCCCACCTAGCAGGGAAGCACCTCCCCATCCGATTCAAAACCATATTTTTTTAGCAATATTTTTTTGTATTTTTCCCCCATCTTAATTAAATTGTGAATATTAATATTCATATTTTTAGTGGTTTTATCATTAACAAAGAACACAACTAATTGTTTATGCTAAACAATAAAAAACAAGTTTCGGATGAAATCTATGAAAACAGTTTGAAATATATACCTTTTTGCATAACACTATTTTATAGGTGACAACAAAGATTGTACTGGGAAAACCGCTTTTAGGCAGTACCTAAATTTATATATCATTTTTTATAGCATTATAGAGTGATTTTATTCAACCCGTTAAAAAATAGTAGTCACTTGCCGATTCTCATGTTGGTTGGGATTCCTGTGGTTCTTCATCCATCCTCTGCAATGACTCGTCGACGCCAGGTTCATGCTGGATCCAAAACAAAAATTCAACTTACAGGCACTAGAAGGTACGTGATGGAAATGAAAGAGTTTAAAAATCTTTAGGGGTTTCTTAACGTTTTAAAAATCGACTAAAACATTAGTGGAATAAACTCTACAGCAGCTAAATAGCTTTGATTGCTTCAACTGCTTCGATGTCTGCCCAGTCATGCAGCCTACGATTTGTTGATGATTTATGAAGTGTAAAACCTTAGGTCGCTCAAAAAGACTTCACATTTACTTGTAAAACACAATTTTTCTTGTCTATTATGTATTTATTTAACTATCTTAACCCTATTAATTCTTGCTACAGGCCGATTATGTATAAGTCTATACATATTTCTGGGCGAATCTGTAAAACGATCGAGCTAGTTATTATGTTGGGGGATTCCCCTAATTGTTTAAGCATTACGTGCATAAAAAAACAAAGGTCAGATAAAGTATATGGGTATAGGTATATAAAAGAAAAAGGCTTTGTTTCTGAACATCAAATACTGGATAACGGATTACTTTTTTGAAAGTTATTCCCTGAAATCCAATTTTTGAAAGTATTAAAGAAAATTATGGTACATACAATGAATTTTTGGAACTCTCAAAACGCAACCACGTTTAAAACCAAACAATGTACTTTACCGAATGTAGAATATTGTAGAATGGCCTACAGGGACATTTAGTTTCCCACGCTGGCTTGCAATTTGCAATCATGTTCTTCACATGTTTTCAAGCTGAAAAATGGAGAGCATTTAGGCAAATTAAAAATAGGAAGATTTTGAACATAAAGCATAATAATTTATATCTCTACAGACACGAGAGAGCCACAACAGTAAAGATGAAGGAAATATTTAAACTTCCTGAACCTAAGAACAAAGGTATCATCAAGCAAATAATAGGTCCAAAAGGCGAAAATCTAAGACACATGGAAAAGAAGGCTAGAATCAAGCCTTATGACATAAGGCAAAAGAAAAACGAAGTACATATTATTGGAAGTGAAGAACAAGTGGAACAAATTAAAACGTTTTTGAATGAGATCATAGTAAGTAAGATGTAATTTCTTTCCTACCCATTCATCTACTTTTGAGAAAGGTCCATTAAGGGTACCCTACCATCCTGGGCCCAGTTGTACAAAGGGTGGATAGGGCTGTCCAATAGATAAATCCTTATCCAATGGATAAGTTTGCAGATATACAATAAATTTATCCACTAGATAAGATTTATCCACTCAGATAGCGCTATCCAACCTTCGTACAACCATTACTAACTGGTATTATAAAATGAAAATAAATAAATAAATAATTATAAATAATTATTATAGGAAAAAGAATTGAAGCGGCAGGAAGAAGCAAAAGGTGAGAAAGTGGTTCCATTGCCGCCAGAAAAAACTGGTCTCATCTTGGGTAAAGATGGAAGTACTTTAAGGGCGATAGAAATGGAAACTGACACCTCAATTTCTGTTAAAGATAAGGCTGCTCACATAAGAGGTTCACATATCAATAAGATAAGAGCCGCAAAGAAAATAGAAGACATATTGAACAAGGTGAAGACCCCACTCAAAAGCTACAATAATCATTCATTAATGAATTGCAATAATGCAATTTTATGGAGTTGTATCCATATTGTGTCTAGTCATGTGCAATGTAACCATTAGATGGATACTGGTGAAAAATGCACTGTGCATGTTCAGAAGTTTGGCAGGAATTTGTAGATGTGCTGTGTTTACAAAAAAAGACCATTTGGAGATTTACTGGCAGTTGTATTACTTGAATTTCTCTCGCATTATTTGACCAGGGAAAGAAAAAAACTCAAGTGATGTGTCAGGAAAAAAATCATCACTAACTTTTCACAAACTGCTTTTACTTTAAAGATTTTTAAAAAACCAGTAAATTTCCAATGTTTTTATTTGTACAGTAAACACAATGGCCTGGTTGTACTGTGCAAAGCCTGGTTAAGCGCTATCCAGCAGAGAAATCCTTATCCACTGGATAAGTCAATGCTGTTATCCAATAAATGTATCCACTGGATAAGATTTATTCATCAGATAGCGCTATCCAGGCTTCTTACAACCAGACAAACATGTCTACCAATTCTGTGCCACATTTCTGAGCCTGCACAGTGCATTTTTCACCCTTATATTATATGCTAGAGAATGATTTGTGGTCTGTATATATGATTACTGTATGGTTTTCCACTTGCAGATGGATTATAGTCACATCAGTTATAATAATCTTAAAGGATTAAAAATACTAAATAGAAATTATGATCAGTGTGATCTACAGTAAGGTGAAAAAGTTAAAGTTATGAAAAACGCCTTACATTGTGAAATCCAAGGCAAAAAGTCAGACAGCAAGTAACCTGAAGCTAAAGGTTTAATATTTAATCATAGTAGCTCCTTGGCATTTATTAATGCCTCTTTATATTCTTGTCTTAGAGCACCACAAGCACAGATGGTAAAATAAAAGTAAGTTTACCTCCAAACTGTGAACTTGGGCGTATTTTTGGCCAACAATTCTGTAACATAGACAAGATTAAGAGGGAAACAGGAGCTTGTGTAGAGGAGATCAAGAATGCAATCTACATCAGTGGGGAAGCCAGCAAGTGCAAGAAAGCAATCATCATGATAAAGAGCAAAGCTGTAAGTTTTGATGTTAACGATAATCATTACAGTATTATTAAACTGAGATTTTTTTTCTCTTTGCTCAATGATAATGATGATGAAGACAATGATTAAGATGATGTTGGTAGCAGTGGTGTTGATGATGATGATGATAGTGGTGAAGATGACAGTGGTGGTGGGTTGTTGATGATGGTGATGGTGATGAAGATGATAGTGGTGGTGGGTGGTGTTGATGATGGTGATGGTGATGAAGATGATAGTGGTGGTGGGTGGTGTTGATAATGGTGATGGTGATGAAGGTGATGGTGGTGGTGGGTGGTGTTGATGATGGTGATGAAGATGATAGTGGTGAAGATGATGGTGGTGGTGGGTGGTGTTGATGATGGTGATGGTGATGAAGATGATAGTGGTGGTGGGTGGTGTTGATGGTGATGGTGATATAGATGATGGTGGTGGTGGGTGGTGTTGATGATGGTGATGGTGATGAAGATGATGGTGGTGGTGGGTGGTGTTGATRATGTTGATGGTGATGAAGGTGATGGTGGGTGGTGTTGATGATGGTGATGAAGATGATAGTGGTGGTGGGTGGTGTTGATGATGGTGATGAAGATGATGGTGGTGGTGGGTGGTGTTGATGATGGTGATGAAGATGATGGTGGTGGTGGGTGGTGTTGATGATGATGGTGGTGATGAAGATGATGGTGGTGGTGGGTGGTGTTGATGATAATGATGGTGAGTGATGATTATGATGGTGGTGACGATGATTATGAAGACAGTGATGGTGATGAAGATGGTGGTGGTGGTAATGTTTATTATGATGATGATGATGATGATGATGATAATAAAGGTGGTGGTGGTGGTAATAATGATGATGATAGTGAATGATGAATCTTTTTATACATGCATATATCACTAAAACTTTGTTTTGGTGGTTTGAATAGGCTGATGTATGCAATAAGAAACCACCTCCAGAACAGTACAATTTTCTACACGCTACTGGACAATGTGCAGATGACTATAAATTACAAGAATTTGATTGTCCCAATCCTTCCTGGAATGGTGAAAAGCACTTCAAAGTGTACAGAATAGATGAAGACAAGGGAGTATGGATAGCATTTCATTATATTATTACACAATTTTTAACAATAGAAGCCTTAACATGTTGACAATTTACCCACTTATTATTACAACACTGTACTTTTCTCATATGACTGACAGTTTTTTTTAAATGTTTTACTGCTCGTAATGAAAAATTCTTTCAACAAGATAGATGCTTCAGTTTGTTAGGAATCTGCCGCCTGTCGTGGATGATTTTGCTAACTCCCCGGCCCCCAAGGTTTTGTCTAATCTTATACATACTAGTCTATCAATATTTATAAATTTAAACCCCTCTCCCTTTAAACGGTCAGCTTTGAGTCCTTGTACCGTATTACAAACTTTTACAGTGTAGTGTTTTTTATAATTAGACTAACTCATATCATGAGGGAAAGGTGCCAACATAAGGAAAAGCATTGATAAAATTAATGGTTTCAGGGGTTTTATTAAGTTTTGAAATAATAGGAGAAGGTCATACACTAGCTAGAGACTCTAAGTGAACATTTTATGACTTACTTAGCAAGGTCGCAGCTCTAAGAAGATCTTACCCAATTGGATGTACTGTATGCAACAGAACGAGAAACAATATAAACAAAACTATAAAAACTTATTGTAAGTTTTGGCAAATCTCGACAGCTCTTCTTGAGGGGTGCAACATTACTGAAATTACTAAGCTATTAAGCAGAAGAATTTTGCTCATTTACCGGTGATCGCAGACCCTTAATGAAACCCCCGGGTCTTTTAATGTACAGGTACAGCACACTTCTGAAGACTTGAACACAGAGGAACTGCAAAAATTTCTGTGTGAGCAACTGAAGAAAGTACAGGCAGAAAATGCAGACCAAAAAGTCAAAGCTGAATTGTTCTGTCATTTTGGACACTTGTACATTGGCAACATTGATGAGGGTATGAAATAAACATACTTTTATGTTTTACCTTTATTATCCCAAAAAGTATTTAGCCACCCAGAATGGCCTAGAATAAGGACTGTTTTCATGACGATGATAACAAATATCATACTAAAGGGATTGCTTTACTTGTATTCTTCAGCTTTTTCTTTTCTTTTCTCTGAGGATGTCATGATCTTTCTTTAATTTGTGTTTTGTAGATCTCTGCAATATTGACAACATCATAATAGTAAACAAAAAGACAAAAGGAAACAATATTATTACTAATTTTTTAGGGCTTATATTTAACTAAATTTATTAATAACTTTTTAAGGGCTTGTTAATTATAAATCATGAATTAAGGCACCCGACCCTGTACATACGTCTAATTACGGCTGCAAGGAAGACTTAAATGTGTAAAGGGTGCTACAAAGGAGACTAGTAAATATTAGGTGCAAAAAAATGTAACATTTTCATGTGAAAGTTTTCACAATCAAATTTTCAGCTCTTAAAATGTGTTTTTGTTTTAGAGTTACAAAAAAAGACCTACGAGTTGAGTGACCTGAAGAAGGAATTCAAAAAGGACAAGAAGAAAGAATCCTGGAGACTTCGCTTTGATCCTGCCATTAAGGAGTTGGAATTTAAACAATTAGAAGAGGATTTGCAAAATTGCAATAATGGATATAAATGCACAGTTGATCCTCATATTAGACATGACTTTCAGTTCTACACTCCTTCATGTACCAGTATTCGGGCTAAAGTAAGTTCCCTCTTTTAATTAACTATATTTTAGAGCATTGCTTTCAGAGCATTGAAATAACTTCCCATTGTCTTCCAGTAATTTGTCCAATCATAATGCGAAGTTATAGCAACAGTAAGATACAGTATGGCTACTGTACAGCTACAAATTTGCCAAAACCACTCCTATAATCCAGTTAAATATAATAAACAGTTTCCATTAATAAGCTAATGGTCAGGAGACAAATTCTCTCAGGGCAATAGACTACCATTAATCTAATAAATCATTAAAAAGATCAAAAAAATTATTTAAAAAATCATTTAAAAAATCATTAAATTCTATAAAGCGGTAGTTCGATGTCTTATTCCTATAAGATTGGAACAATAGATAATTAGATTTGACTTCCTGTTACCATCCAAGGCCCGCCTACAGATTTAGATTCATATTAACCCCTGTTAATATCCACGATAAATCATTAGGGCATTGTAAAGGTACATTCGATAACAATTTATTTAATTTATGTTAGTCTTTGCCCATTTACTGGAAACAACTTTTATCTACACATCAGCACATTTTAATAATCCTTAGTGTTCAGATTATGATCTATCATTTTTTCAGATCTTCATGGATATGGATGGTAATATAGATCCAAAGTTTTCTCATCAAGATATAGACATAAGAAAGCATGGTCCCAAGCAAGTATCCTCGGCATCCCCAGCACCAAAGTATGTGCTCTGTGACCAGTTACTAACCAGAGCTAGAGTGAATATCATGATATTATCAAAAGGAATGGATTGCCGTTTGGCTATTCGTACAGGTACGCACACATGTCATTATATGTACAGAAGAGATTGCTGGGAGAGAAGGGAATCTTCTCCCCCCTTCAAAACAAAAAAAAGCAAAACTTTCACTGGAAGTTACAAAGAAAAGTAATGTCTTCCAGGGCTGTCAACCCCGGGGGGTTCTCCCATATATGAACTATACGGGGATGATCCGCTGAACAGGGTATGGTTTTTCGAGCTTCGACTTGTCATAAACAGGGTATGCAATTTCACTCAAGGTCCAAATTCTTCCTGAGTTTCTTGTCATATTCAGGGTTTCTACTTTCGTATTGACTGAAACTGGTTACCATGGTCGTAAAAAAATGATACGTGAGATGACATGATAATTGAAACAGGAACTCAGTGCAATTAATTATATCTTTTGTCATAAACAGGGTCTACAAATACGATTTTTTTTGTCATAAACAGGGTACCCCTTTCAGAATCCCAGCGGAACACCCCTACCCAAATTCTGGCGGAGTACCCCCCCGGGCTATCAACCCCCCGAGATATTCAAATCTGGAGAATTGATAGAGAAGGACATGACGTCACAGCGCGTCAAAAAGCGCGCGAAAAGACGTCTTTCGCCTTGTAACATTTGATGTGGTTTATTTCTGACCAATCAGATTATCGCTTCTATTACAATGGCCTGCTTGCAAGAACAGTTTATGAGGAACGTTTTGATTTTGTTAGCGATTTAAAATAACACAAACAACACAAAATAATTGGAATTTTATGGTTGTGAAAGTCGAGTCTCACAAGAAATGGTCAGCTTCGGGGATTATCCGGGAGATTTGAGACTCTAATCTGGAGACCGGGTGATACAGTCCAAAATCTGAAGACTCCCGGTTTATCCGGGAGAGTTGACAGCCCTGGTCTTCATTTCTGAATTCTTTTTCTGTTTTAGTCTCGCCAACTGAGGATCAAACCGGCAAAGCCGAAATTTTTGAAAAAGACGTCACAAAATACCTGGACAACGTATCAATTGTTAACAAGGAAGTGTGTATGCCAGGAGACTCAGAAATGCCAGGCAATCCTGGTGACTATTGTCTCTACTACTGGAGAAAATGTCACCGAAGAAAATACAAAGTGGAAGAAGAAGAATTCTCTATAACAATATCAGAAGAAGATGTTATGGATGTTACTGGAAGTGGTCAAAAAGAATGTACGAAGGTAGGCATATATGTAGAAGACGAGAAGGTTGAAGATTGTCGTCAAGTCACTTTGATGTTTGACCTCAAAAAAGGCTCTGAAATAAATTTTTAAAATTACTAATACAAATTTAGGAGTTAACTTCAATTATTAATTGAATTTAAAAGCAAAGTACTAAACTTAACGTTGGTGGTGTTGTAAGATACCTTTACATTTGGGCTGCCTTGGAAGATCTCTCTCGAACTTTTGTTTTCAAAATGGCGCCTTTCTTGCTTTGGTCTTGACGTCACAGTCAAAATATAGACGATCAACCAATCAGTAAACCAGACAGTCAGTTTGACTGCAGTCAATCAATCAAGTGGTTCATTCATTCGCTCATTCATCCATTTATCATTTGCTCATTCATTTAAACATTTATATATTTATTCGAATTTTGCTTAAAGGTTCTAATTTCTTTTCAAAATGGCGCCTTTCTTACAATCCAGTCAAGGCTCGTCAAGGCACCAAAAAAATTTGAGGGCCCCCCATTTTATCCTCCACCCTTCCCCCACCCCCCCTCCGACTTAAATAATGACTGGTCCCTTGTATATTCATTGATTTATTCAGGCCGATCGTCTGACTTTCACTTCATTCACTTCATAAATATTTTTCAGACTGACATCCACCTTCACTGTGACGAATGGGACAGGCTTCTCACAAGTGGAAAATGGGAACCCGAACAGATCGTGGAAAAATTACCCAAGTTTTTRAATTTTGTCAAACTTGTTCAGGCTAATATTTCTGACCCTCATGACAAAAAGTACGAATAAAAACACCAAGCTGTTGCTGGGTGTTTTCACATTTGGTGCTCTAAGCATGTTGCCTGGCCAAGTTCTCGCTGGGTACTAAATTTAAACACAGCTCCAGCTTGTACGGTGCCCGGGTTTCCGAGTACAACTCAATCGACCTTGTATTCGTCAATTCGGACACCTTGTGTGAGCTCAGTTACGTTCCTACATAGTTAGTAACTACCCCGGGGTACTAATTATGGTTCCTATAGTGCGCTGTGTTCTGCGATTTTTTGCCCAGCTAGCGCTCAGGCACCCTCAGGGCCAGCAAAGCAAGAGGTCACTCTGGCACATACTTACCTCGACCTCTCTAATCCATGTAGCTCTAATTTTAATCATTATTAAATAAGAAGTATTATCATATGACCCGTACGGCCCTGCTCGCGCGCTCTAATAAAACCATTGGAAAAAGTCACGTGATGGGGGCCGGACGGGTTGACGTAAGCGGGCCGGAAAACCCCGTCCGGCCCTGCTCAAATCCGCGCGCTTTCTTTTTCTTAATTATTTTTATTTTCTAGAGGCTCATATGATAAAATGCTTATTGACTGAGTTAGGTCGGGCCGTACGGGAAAATATTTGGCTCTCGGTCATTTGTACGGACCTCGCTGCGCTCGGTCCGTACGACATGACCTCGAGCCAAATATTTTCCCGTACGGCCCTCCCACTCAGTCAATAAGTACATAGGCTGCACTCTTATAGTGCAAATCGAAAAATAGGCGCTCAATAAGCGCATGTGGCTACTGCCATAAGAAATTATTTTTATATAGGAAAGTAATGGAAGAAGTTGGTAGCTGACTATTGAGATATATGAAGGATATATTGCTTACTATCAATCACGTGACTTTTTGGAGTTGACTTGGGGGCAAAAAAGCGGTTGACTGGGGGGCAACTAGCGGATGCTAAGTCCAAACAAATCATTAAATAAGTCCTCAAACTATTGTATTTTACTATTTTCACGACATCAAACCAGAAAACAAGAGATCAAAACAACCTCCAGGATTCTACAAGCCATCAAAAAAGAGCTATCACCGGAAGTGACGTCTATTGATGGCAACCTCTTGCGGCCTATTTCATAATGACGTCACAGCTTGTTTACATGGGAGACAGAATCACCGAGAACAATGGGAATTTCGACAAAATCTTCTTTCTCTCCGAAAGTTTGGCTTCAAATTGTCCAGTTTCCATATATGTTATGTGTCAAGGTTTATCCTTCGATATTAATAGTATTTTGTTGTCATTACTCCCTTCTCTGTTTTGTAAATGCAATTTATTGCGTTTTTTTCTTTGTGTTGTTGTCACCATTCTGTACCCCTCTGGCGACGATGATCCTTAGCGTTCAAACAATAGACTGTTTTGATGTGACGTCGTTATGAAATAGGGCAATTTAACTGAGTTAGCGTCGTTGGTGAAAAAAATGTAAATGTAGAGCGAAATCTTGGTATTGGTTTTATGAATTTCAGGGCTTACACAGGAAACTTTTTCAATTTCCCAAATGGGAACTTTGGGAAATTATTGTGAAATCACAACCCAAATTTGGAAAAATCTTGGCGATTTCAGAAAGGAATACAATTTTTTCCCAACCTTGGATTTTGTTGCATTTTCCCAATCAGGGGAATTTATGTGAATTTCCCATAAAAGGAAAAAAGAATTACGCGCAGTCCTTTTGGACAAGGAATCCAAAGCCCATATTCAAGAACGTCATATTGAGGAACGGGCAGGAAAGTCAAGATTTATCTTACGATGAGAGGAAGTCTTCAATTAAGTAAAAACTGCGATAAAGAAATCACAAGAGATAGGAAAAATATACGTGATTTATTACGAAGGCTTATTGGTAACGTATAATTTGGGAAAAGGAATGGATAGACATATCGGTGTAAATATGTTTACCGGAAAGAAAACGGACAAGTCGTTGTATGTCATCATACTGGGTAAACGCGTAGTAACTGCGTACCCCGCAAATGGTTGGACTTGATGAATAAAAGAATAAAGTTCAGTCTCGACTTCAAACCATTGTTTCGTGGTCATCCAAGCGAATTCGGGAAAGGTCTATTGATCCCAAGCCACAGGGACATCAAGTTCCTTTTTCACCCCAATAAGAGTGAATGACTTACGATTTCAACCCCTAAAAGATACGACGATTATTCCTGAAGGGTTAGGGGGTTTGCGGGTAGGTTTCGGTGGGCGCCTTCCCCTCAAAACAGCAAATGCTGGAGTCGAGAATAAAAAACCTCTCGACCCCAGCGAGTATACGAAAGGAGGAATGCAAGTGATTTGAAGTGGTCAGTCTGTTGTTTATAGTGCTACGGGAATGCAATGGAGGACCCATTGTAATTGACATATTTTCTAAATCGAATTCCTCAAGAGTAATAAAACATTTCAATGGAAATAAGATAATAGAAATAAGGATTGTGTAAAAAATTTTGGGACAAAACAGTGATTATCTTAGAACTGAATGTAGTGCAAAGCGAGGACACCAAAGCGAGGACACCAAAACGAGGCCAGTCAGTACTAATCAGCAAAAGCAGTACAATAGACCTAATTGGCTAACGTGTTGCTATAAACGTTTCCACTCAATTCAAACTTCATGGGAGTAAGTTTCATTATTCGTTAAATTTTGGTTTCAGAGTTGAATTCGTAGAGACAAACGCTTCTATTCCCAGAAGGTTTGAATCGATCGGGTGGTAGTGCTCGCACTAAACCCGTGAAACAAATACTAATTTTTAGTACTAAATAGTGATAATCAAACAATAGAGTGCAAACAATTAATCCATGAAACACTAATATTACTAAATAGTACAAAATAGTGCCAATTAAACAATAGAAAACAATGGAATTTGCATGAAATTATGCTATTTAGTATTACTTAAGTTTCACGGTTATATTGTTTGCACTCTAGAAAACAAAGGATTCTGTATGAATTACTACTTATTAGTACTAAATATGTTTCACGGGTTTAGTGCGTGCACTCTAACGTACATAGCAACACGTTAGCCGATTAGTCTTATGATGTCAATTGGTCGTCATGGTAACCCGAAACAATACTCTCCCTGTCGTTTTATGCTAATATTTGATGAATAATTAATGTACCCGTCCTTCCCCGTCCCCTTCCCCGTCCAAAATCCGGCCCGTGCCATGCATACACTACTACTCCAAACTCTCTCTTTTAGGGGTTTAATTTTTTTCGACGGTGCCCCGGCCCTTTTTGTCATATGGGATTACCCCTCCCTCCCTCCCCCTCTCTTCTCCCTCTGCAGCATAAACAAAAATCTTGTTGGGATTCCTGTGGTTCGTCATTTGTCCTTCGCCATACTCGTCTACTAGTTAACTATACTGCTGGTTGCTGCTGGATCTAAATCAGAAATTCAACTTTTAGGCACTAGTAGGTACGTGATAAAAATGAAAGAGGTTAAAGGTCTTTAGGGGTTTCTTAACTGTTTATGAATATACTAAAACATTAGTAGAATAGACTCTACAACAGCTAAAAAGCTTCTAAAATTTTCGCTTCGCTCAGTGTTAAAATGTCTGCCCAGAGTAAAGATAGTGAGTAAAGAGCATTCGATTTTTTGCCTTTTTAATACAGTATAAAACTTGGGTGGCCGAAAAAGACTTTTATACAGCTGTACTTCTAAGATACATTATTTCTTGTCTCGTATGTATTTACTGCCATGATGGGGGATTCCCCTAAGTCATTTTAGCAATACGTGTTTCGTTTTTCAAAAACAACTATCATCGTTTCTTTCTGAATATCAAATAGTGGAAAGCGCATTACCTTTTTGAGATACATGCATTTTATGCCTCTTAACCATTTCAGTCATATTTACTGTATAATCAGCGAACCGGAAACAGATGATTAATGCATAAACCAGTCAAACTAACTTTCGATTTGTGTGTTACCATCCAGATCCAGAGCCTTCGATTTTTCCTTAGAAAGCTGAGAAGGCTTTGGGTACGAGAATGATTGTATACCATGAGAGGAAAAGGTTTATATTGTTATAGTATAAACCTACTAATTGGTCAAATAAATGGATACAAATATTGTTGCTGAGGAAGGTTATTGAAGAAATAGAAAATGCGCCTAAGTGCTGTGT